ATTTCCCTGGCCATATTCCCATGCCACTCCACCACCACTACCCATTACGCAACCACAGCCGACATTGCCGCTGCCACAGCCACATACCGCGCCAACCTTTCCGTCACCACATCCCCCGACATACCCTTTTCCACAACAACAACCCTATCCGGCTCCACCTACCATGACTATTCCAACTCCCACCACACTGTCCTATGGCGCTCCCTCTGCCTGGACAATTGCGCAACCATCTCAGCCGCCACCACAACCCACACATCCACCACCCGCTTTTCCGTCACCAGCACCGTCCCCCTCTTACCTAGTACAACAATTGCATCACACACCACCCACCGATCCTACAAACAACACACCGACCCAGTCGCCTCCAGCACCTCAACATGCACCTATGGCTCACCATCCCTTCACAGAACCGCAGTGGGCCATGGCCCAGGGGGTTTGGCAACCTTACTCAGCTTTTCCCCCAGTCACACAACCTTTAGCTCAACCTTTGCCTCCACCGCTTCCTCCACTGGCCATCGGCGACTCACCACAAGTTCAGCCACCAATCCCACAACCGGCACCATCGGACCCCACAGCACCAGCCCCCAACGTCACCAATTCAGCCACTGGCTCCCACCCATCTCCATCACCCTCCATTGCATCAGCCCCACCAGCTACTGCACCTCACCACCCTACAACAGACAAGCCGGACAACACCGCTTCACCAGCACCACCACCACCGTCCCCACACCCACCTCACAGCAGTCGTCGCCACCATCACAGAAGCCGGCGCAAGTCTGATCATCACCGCAGCGGCCGCCACCGACGTCGCCGCCGGCATCGGCATCACCGCCATTCAAAACACCACAGCACCTCCCGGCGACGCCGCTCGCCTTCAACCTCCACCTACTCTTACAGCCCCACACCTTCCCGCAGCCGCTTCATTGTTCACAACGAACATTTCCTACACCATCCCGCCATCCAAACCCTCATCCACCACAACCTTCGGCGACCCAGTGGAACTCGAGCCTGTGGACGACTTCCACCTCCTGGGTTTCAACATCGACCTCCAACAACGCACCATCACCTACATGCAACCTTCCCAACCCTGGAAAATCAGGGATTCCACCACCGCCGGGAGCCAGCGCTTGGCTCTGTCAGGCCTCCAATCCAGACTTCACACCATTCGAAAATACACATTTCCACCCTCCAGCGCTGAAGCTGCTGCCGCCGAGCTAGTGAGGCTCTATGTCCAAAAAGGACACAACCACCACGCCTGCCACCAGTTTTTGAAAAAGCGCCGACAACGGCGACCTGTGTGTGTCCACCCCTGGACAAAGGGCTCTTTACCACCAACTCGTTTCCACCCAACCTCAGCAGGGGGATCAGGCTTCCAGCGACTAACCTGATCCAACGAAGCTGGGTCGCTGGAAGGGAAGTGGTTGAGGACGCTCAACCATGTACCTGCGAAGTTTTCCACAAGCTGTCACCCTACTTTTCCACGGCTTGATTCATGGTTCTTTCATGATACCTTCCCCACAAACAGGTTTCAGCCGCTTGATAACTGCAGCCAGCCGCGCGAGTGATACATTTTTTCAACAATTCAAGTCACTGGACCTTTTCGCCTTGCTGTTCCATCGCCATCTTTCCCAACGTGGAAACTGAGTCACTGAAAACCAATGTCAGAGTGTATGTTAATCCCTGTCTCTAAGGGAACCACACACTTCAATTTTCAATGCACAGTAAGGCAGAGGGCCGGAGCCAGGTGGGGGGTCTCCGGCCAACTAAGAGACCCCCAACCCGGGTGAAAACGTACCTGCCAGGTTGTAGTGTTCTTAAGCTGTGACTCCACTTTTCTCGTAAAGTGCTAACCCGTATGTTAAACATGTTTGTTCTTCGGACCTTTTCGCCGTGCCGTTTTGTGAGTCAAGGGCTAAGTGTTCACCTCAAGAGCTAATGCACTGGATCCTCACAAATGATTCAGCTCTTGCGAGCCAATATCCAAGTGTAAACCGCTATCACACGTGGCAAGATTGCTTGAGTTTACCCAGAGATTCACAGAAGCTACCAGGATAGCGGGCCCGGCCCGGCAAGATGGCCGAAGACCCATCCAAGCCGTGTCAACGTGCCACTTTGAGTAAACCACGTTGACCTCGGTGTCGTTTTCACCCTCTGAGGTTCCAGACTTCACTGCTAGACTTCACACCCTTCCGCCCTTTCCCTTGTGGTTAACAGACATGCTTCTCCAACCTTTTGGGGCACTTGTGTGTGAAGTTTCTTTGTTTCGAATGGCAGAAAGAAAGCCCTGGGAGGGCTTACATGCTTCACAGCCAGGCGGGGTCAAGCATCTCAGCTGTTTCTGTAGGCAGTTGCGCAATTTGGGTGCTGTCCTGGGAATCCTTCAGCGGCTTGGCAATTGACCATGACAGGTTGAGAACTGAGAATTGTAGCTGCTTGATTTTGTTTCTTCATTACACCATCGCCCTGTTTCCCATTTTCCCTCGTGGACTCTCTTCCGAATTGGCGCTTCAGCCGCCGAACAGTCGTCCGGCGCTGTACCACAGGGCATTCGTCGGTTCCATCTTTTGCGAACGTATTTTTCCCGCTACCTTGGGTTGCAAAGTCGTTTTAACCGATGGTACAACGGGAAAAGCACAGGTCCATTCGGCGTTTTCAAAAACACTCCACGAGTGTCAAGGACAACATCTATGATTGCATAATTCAATAGTTGTTAGAGAATGTAAATGAGTATTATAGATCGACATTACATCGTTTTTTGCCAGCCCTGACTGTGAATGTGTTTTGATTTCTGGTACACGGCAAACAGTTCTGTTTTGTCTCTTGTCGTCTCTTGTCTCGTTCTGCTTTCCCGTTTGAGCAGCGTGTTCTTTTTCAGGCGAAATCCAGAGGAGGTGTGCAAAGGTCCAGTCGACGATGGCTTCGAGGAGCTAGGGATGTTCATTCTTTCAAACATGTTTCAAAGCTTCTACTAGCTTCCTTCCTCCTAGTAGTAATACCAATACCCCTAGTAGCGTTCTTGTTCCTAATAGCGATGCCCTTTGCTCCGTTCGTAGCGTCCTCTATGTTTCAAAGATGTGATGTTTAAAAATGTTCAATATTCTCATTCCTGATTAGATTGATTAGTGAGGAGAAGGTTGAGAGCTTGATCCAGGCTCCGCATTAGCCAACTGCGTTTTCAATTTGCAAGATTTGTCACAGCACGTTTCAGCAAATGCCAGCGTCCCTTTGAAGGGCAGCAGAGTCAGGGTGTTCAGTCTTGTGATGCCAAGGCCCGTGCTGATGCACGGAAGGCCAAGGATTTTGGGAAGGCTGACGCCATCAGGGAAGAGCTCACCAGTCAGGATCCCGAAGGAAAATGACAAGGGGCAAAAACCGAGAAAAGGACGGCAAGAGAGAGAGAGGGAGGGAGGGAGGGAGGGAGTGAGTGACCCCCCATTTCATTCACGTCATTCACAACGCTCTCACGATTCAGGCATGGGCGTCATCATCGAAGACGGGGCACAAGGTGCATTTTGTCGATGACGGTGGTGCAAGATCTTGGGGCTATTTAGGATACTGTCCGGCACATCGAAAACCAGTCTTTCAAATTGGATGTGTTTCAAGCAAAACCATTGCCGAGTTGCCTTTGCTGCCGGAATGTTTTGACTTGGCGCATGGCCAAGTCCAATTTGGAGATGTTTTCAGTGCCATGCTTTGCAGGAACCTCATGGCGAGTGGCATCCCTCGTGTGAGTCCGGCTGTAGCACATGAAATGCTGGCTCAGGTTGCATAGTCTTGTTATATCTTGTTCTTGGTTTCTCCATCTTGCGATCTTAGGGCATTGCATCTTCGCAATGTGAGATATCACGGGTTTGATGGGAGGTAGTTTAAGAGGTTGGGAGGCTTGTCGCTTTGCGAGAAGATGTGAGAGGTCGAAGGTAAGTACGAAAAGACAACCGAAAGTCTCGTTTCGACCAAGTGGGCCGTTTTCAGGGTTCTTTTTACTGATCCTCGAGCTGCAAAGCGCTAGATGCTTTTGGATGCTTAGCGTAGCGTAGCAGCTGTGTGTGTAAGAAGAGGGTTAAAGCTCGAAAGGGGGGGGGGGCGGACGCCCGGAAGAATTTTCGACGTGTCAACATTCTAACTTTTGGGATTCCGGGCAGACACTTTCATCTTTGAGCTATCGGAATTTTGCTAACGCTGAGCCTACCCTGGCTGTTCTACTTGCACCTTATGTCAAAGCCAATTTGAACAGCAGTGTGTGTATACAGCTTTCTTGCATTGGTTCGGCAACCCTCGTAGAGCCGGATGCGCATCTGGTGACACATGACTAGAAAGAGAAAGAGAAAGGATGTGAATACATCCTTTGTCGCAATAAGACCCCATTCAGACTTGACAATGTGTGAAAAAGAGTTACGTTGCGGCTTCACATCGCTACGCTGGTAAGCTCCAAGCTGCTCAGCATGAAAGCCATGTCCAAACTGCTTCATGGTCGACTGGAAGGTAGAGCAGCACAATCGCCACAATTTATGTCATAAAGCACAGACGCGGTGCTTAAAGGTTGCACAGTCACACAGAAAACACCCCACACCTGCCACATGGCAGCCTCCAAGTGCTGCTCGTGCTATACCCAAACCCTTGCAACAGCTTTGCCCCAATCGTGTGTCCTACCCATTGCTTTGCACAGATCGAAAACGCAACAAAAAGCGGCTAATGCCAGTTCCTACATGGAGACCAAAGCCATTACTGAAGACCAAACACGCCAAACATGCAGTGAGCCCTGGCATCGCCTTCAAGATCTTCAAGCATTGCGGAGAGATACTCCACTCCGCACATCTCCGCAGTCCTACAGATGAGGAATCGAAGATCGAACGTGTCAAAAATCTTGGGATCTGGAATTTGTCGAAGAAATATCTTTGTGGCAAGAGCAGTTCGCAACGAGTGCTGAAGGTCTTGGTGAAGTTCCACAGTTTGGCACAGTAGAAGAGAGTTCCACCAACACGAATCTAAGAGTTGCCAACAGGATACCCTATTTTTGAGGACGACTCCATGTCAACACGACACCTCGTTGACCTGGAAATGGTCACTGTTACCTGCCGAAACGAAGCCAGACGAGTCGTGTCGGACAGTCGCCCTGCGCCGCCCTGCTCGCCCACGCTTCTTTGCGTCTCAGTCACGGACGACCGCAACCCACCTAATCTTCAATACACGATGAGAGATATGAGAGCAACTGAAAAGATACAGGTAGGGCCGGTCATGGCTGCAGTTTTTGCTGTAAGGTAATGCAGGATTTCTTCCAGCTAGCAGGGCTTGCATGGATGTGTTGCAATGTTTTACATAGTGAGGCAATTGCTTTGCAACGGCCGACCTTTTTGGACTCAGCCATTTTTGGTCAAGCGCGTTGTGCTGTCACGGGCACCCAGATGTCGCCGCCAGAGAAGGAGCGCGACGTGGAGAAGCCGTTCCTCTTGTTCATGTTTCTTGGGAAAAATCAAGTCCAAGCAGACCAGACAAAGCGCAGATTCACAAAATGAACGGATAGGTTTTCGGAAGTGAAACCGTCCGAACAACTGCGGTATTATCGAAAATCACAAGACATGACACATGCATGATTGATAGCAAACCTTCCGAAGGGACTCTTTTAAGTCTCGCCTCCTCAAAATGTTTGCCAGTGCGTATTAAAGAAGCATGTTGTAATGTAATATCACAACTGTCCACAGTCAACATCTGCCCGTTCTCAGCACAGGGCGGACCCAGCTGAGCACCCTTTGCAGGTTCTTCATTGCTGGGTCTTTCACCTATGGAGCTTTGTTGGTCTATCCACTCTACCAAGCCCTAGCGAAGGCCAAAGGACAGGAGGAGGCGAGACGAGGGCGAGGAGGGCGAGAAAACGGAACACAGAGTCGAAGTCATCAATTTTTGGACAGGTCGATGCTGCACAGGGTGGTCTCATTTTGATGCACTCGGGATGCACAGAGTGTGATACGTTCAACGAAGACGTTCTATGTCCTTCCCATCCAAGGGTGGCAAAGTACTTGTCCATCTTCACACACAATATCTTCAGCCGATGCTGGACAACCTTACGAGGGCTTCAACTCCAAGTGTCTTGCTACTTGGGCTCGACCATTGATTGTTAGGCGCATCTAGAAACAATCTCGCTGAAGGATTTTAGATGCTTTTAGCACTCATTGATACAAGATTTCGGGACGGGGTCAAGCTTAGCTTTGTTTCTGCCTTGTCGCAAGCCTTTGCATTCCAACTTTTCTGAGTTTACTGAGGCTATCTTCTTTTTGGAACTGTGAGCTTGGGCATTGCAGCAGTGTCCACAGTCCCTCAGGCAAGACTCCAAGAAAGTGTGGACCTAGTTAGTTACTTCAGTCCTTGTTGGCCCTACGTCGCACTTGGAGAAGTTACACCTGTTGCAGGCGGCGACATTGATGCTAGTAGCATCGCTGTATTTCACCAACTCCAACGTGATTGCTGGCCCTTTGCAGCTAGGATTGCAGCTGGTGTCGCTGTCGCCACAGTGCATCAGATGCGTGCGTGTGTGTATAAAGAATGATGTCCAGGTGGCCAGTTCCTTCAGAAGAGCGGAGCAAGATCAGAATGCTTTTCTATTATGCTTGCTGTCCAGCTGGATGCTTGTGGACTGGGTTGGCCACTAGTGAAAGATGTGAAAGTAGTCCGCTTGGCTCGACTTGTCTCCTTGCTGTGCTGTATTGAAATCAGCTGCACAAGTTTTGCCTGTGAGGACAGCTTTGGCATCAATGTGCCTTGCAAGGGAGGAGCTTCTGTGTTTCAGCAGGGTTTTGCAAAGATCAAAGACCAGAGTGCTGACATTCTGCCAGGAATACAGGGGCTCTTGGTTCTTGCGTGCTGCTGTAGTGGTTTTACCATTGCTGGTCACACTGATCAGCTTCTTAGCGTAATTCGGACTTAAGGATCCTGCTTTAGGGGATGTCCATCTCATCTGGCGTGGTGTATTTCTTAAGAGGACAAGCGTGAATGTGTACTCACATGTCCCAGGCTGGTTAATGCTGCCTGCCGATGGCTTCTGGAGCCCCGAGCGCATGAAACAAGCGCAGCCACTTTGATCAAAATGCTATCTGCCCAAAGGGGAATTGCGGGAGTTGCCTAGCCGGAAGGGAAAGTGCTTAACGACTTCTGGATCAAAACCGAAATCACTTAGCCCTATGCCATCGTGGATCCGAAGTTAATCAAAAACTTGTAGTATCGTTTGTGTGTCACTTGTGCGTCATGTGTTTTCTTTGCCCCTCAGTAGCACTCGCTCTGGTGTGTGGCAGGGTGGGGGCACAAACATGGGCATGCAGCTGTTTGCTTGCTCAATGCTTGGCTTTTGACTCTTTGTGAGGGAAGAAATGGAACAACAGATAGCAGAGGAGAAAAGGCTGGAGGAAAAGCAAGAGATAAAGAAAAAGGAGAAGGAGAAGAAGCCGCTTGGTCAGAGCACTTGCTATCTTGCTGGGGTACATGTGGGTTCTTTGCGGGAGTAAGGGTGTCTAATTCAGATTTTGGATTATATAATTGACGTTTGGCTATTCCAGACTTCCGCATTGTCTCTATCTGGATGTCTGAGGAAAGTGAGACTTTTTAAGGATGATGATCAGAAAATCGTGGAGGAAGAGGAGGAGGAGAAGGGGGAGGAGGAGGAGGAAGCTGTTGGAGCTAATGAGGAGCAGAACAAGTCGAGCGTTCTTCTTCGCTGCGCATTCGGAATTGAATGAAAGCCACAAGATATTTGTCTTGAAGTTGTTGTTTGTGTATGTTCGTTTATAAATGCGTCAATCACTGCTTCCTGCCGCAGTCGCTTATTTCTTGCGTTTTAGCAAGACTAGTTTCGGTGAGCGAGACGAGAGCGGCGCTCACCTCTGGCGCTCCTTTCCACCGGCGCAGCGTGATCTCGTAAGTCCTGTGCCAGCCTTGTCCCTTTGGAAATTCAAAATGTACTGTTTGGCTGGAACCAACATGAACCAACCATAACTAACCTATCTTCCATTCATGTGATGTTGAAATACTTTGAACTATACGACTCGCTGGGCTATGTTTGCCAACTCCCTTGGCCACTGACAGCACTCTGACCCAAGCTTCTTGCACAGGACAACAATTCTGGAGCAAAGGAGGCATCTAAAGAAGTAGAAGCAGAGGCGGTAGCTGCTCAGAGAGGCTTTGTGTTGAAGTGAAATTACAGGAGGTTCTATGTATGTCAAGTGAAGTCTTCGGTGTTCGTGTGGGCCGTTTGTGCCTGTGTCCAGGAGCAAGGCGGCGGATGCTTGGCATATTGTTGACCGTTCCTTCAGGAAGTCGGAAATGGCAAGAAACGAGAAAAACCGAAACGAGAAACCGACTTCGTGTTCACTTCTCAAACGGAAACCGAAAGCCCGAGAGGTGCTTCGACTAAGGCCTGCGTATTGTGATGGAAGTGCCGCCACTACCACCACAGATACCAGACGATTTGAGCACACTTTCAGGTGATATGTCTCCCGTCTTTCACACCCACATGACATCGACACACGATGACGTCAGGTAAAGGGTCGTCGAAAACGAGCAGTGCCATTTCTTCTTTGCCTTTGGGCCTTTGCCTGAGTCGTTTGCAAACTGTCGATGCAAGTCTTTGGCCGAACAGCTCGAATTCCAGGACTTTACAAGAAAATGACGATCATGCCGCCCCCCATGGAAGGTGCACAACCCTCAAACCTACAACTGACAGGGAAAGGAAAACACTGCAAAAGGTTTGAAGGCCTTTGTACCATTATAGAATATTACAATGAATATCAAATAATGCAATTGCATGATTAGATTGTCTCAAATCGTCAAATACTTTTTGCATTCAACTTGGGTCCAGGTTTGCATCATCTCCCACGTCTCAGCGCTGCAGCACGAGCCAGTCATAGGCGAAGCCGCCGCCTTTCTTCGAGCGCACCGTGTCGATCATCCCGGTTTTCGGTCACATGGCAAAGAGAAACCCTGAAAAGTCCTACTGTAACTTCTTGCACCATTTTGTGCCTGTTAGTTTGTTGTGCAAAGCTTTGGTGGCGTTGAATTTGCTTTCGGCAGATGTTGCCTTTGAGAAAACATGTGCCCGACCAGTCTTCAAAAGTCTTCCCGACTCGGCTAAGGCCAGAAGCCAGGAGTCTACAGCTCGCAGACGCTCTACCATGCAACAGGTCAGGGCGACTTTCAAAGACAGGAAGACAGCTGTTGCCAGGCACCTCGGCATGTGAAAACTGTGGCTACCGGTGTAGTGCAATAATATAATAAGATATAATAAGCCTGATGACTAATCATTAATATTCCTTAAATTTGCTTGGATGCGTTGCTTGGTTTTTGTGTGTGAGACTTGAAACTTCACTTCTGCTTCACTTGGATGCGAAATGAAAATGACAGAAAAATAAAGAAAGCTGTTTTGCCAGTCGGCGTGAAGACAGAAGTGTGCTCGACAGGATGAGCTTCTTCACCCCGATGAACCCAATCTTGCAACGCGAGCTGGGCAGTATAAGATATGATCGTCCCAATCGTGCTGCCATTTACCCGGGTCCAATGTTCGATTTTGACTTCAAGGAATTCGAAGATCCGGAGGCGCCAGTGCTTTGCACTATATTTTGCATATGGGTTCTGCCGGAGATTTCGGACAGGCTGAGAAGCAAAGTCCATGGAGAAATGGCCGCTTTCGAGTTCTTGTTGGCACCTTGGCAGAAATGGTCCAACGGCCGCTTCCAGCTCTCTCGGAATGTCGACCGATCGTCCAGGAACCCACTGCGCATGTCTTTACTGCGTCACCTTCTGGGGCATCTGGGCTGAGAGGGAAATCGAAGTGTGGAAACGTTCCGTCCAGCATGGTGGACAGTTTGCACACAGTCTTAAGAAAATGGCTCCAAATGGTTCCAAAAAGAATCTTAGAGAGGAAAGGTCTCTGGGTCTTTGCCTGTCGTCCGCGTTTTGTCTTCTCGCCTCACTTCTCGATGCCATTTGAGACTGAAAAAGAGCGTTGTTTCTTTCGTTGTTTCGCTTTTATCCCTCGGGGTCTCGTTTGGAGGTCGGGTTCTGGGGGCGTGATGTTGTGTTCGCAACCGTCCAAGGCGCCGTTGGGGAAGCTTTTTCGAGGCTTTTAGGAAGCTGCTCGCGTCTGTGTGAAATAGCGTAGAAGCGTATGAAGTGTGGATTTGCTGTGCAGGCGCTGCTTTTGTGAGGTCAGGACATGTGGCCGCTGTGGGAATTGGAATGTGAGTGTCGCTGTGCTGGGATTCGTCTTTCTGAGGAAGTGAAATTTTCATGGCAAGCGCAGAGAATCGTGGGGTTGAGACGGTTGGTCGGGGGTGAATGTCGCTGTGTCATTGGGGGTGTCAGCGGTTGCGGCTTTGGGGGGCTGGAATTGCAAAACTGCTTGACAGGACTGCTTGATGTGTTCTCTTTGATGAGGTTTCCCGCTTTACTTTTGGAGGATAAGTTCCCAGTTTGCCTTTTGGATGCAGCCTCGTACGAAAGGGGCTTGCTGAACCAGGGTTGGTCGTATATGCTTTGATGATCTTTAATTGGGGGTAAGGTTTAGGAAAGGCTCGGGAAAGGTGATGTTGACAAGAAAATCTTAAGCATACCAACTTGTTGTGCAAGTGATTGATTGCGTTGGCCATGCGTGGTCGTTTTGCTGGCCGGACATTCAAACCTGTATGCAGTACTTGGTGGCACTGTTGTGCAATAGTTCCTCGAAGGGCTGGCTCATGGCCCTAGTGTACGCATATGGCCTTTGAGAACGCATACGGGCCGGAAAGATGTTGAACGTGTTGCGCTAGGAAGACCATTAACCTTAGAGCAAAACGCCTAGCTCACTGCCAGATGTGCCTGCAAAAGGTTTGCGACCAAAACCCATGCTGATTGGACCAAATCCCGGCAGTTTGCAAAGTTAAGTTTACCGAGCGCTGGAATAGTTATTGGCTGGCCACAGAACCTTCAGGATACACAACCTTTTGCAGATGCAAGGAGGTTCGCTGTGCCTTGAGGTTTGGCGCGGTGCCATTGGAGAACGGGAAACATGTGTGTGTGTGTGTGTGTAGACTCGGCATGATGCTGCTGAGCGGGATGACGGTGTCATGCTACACGGTCGCATCTGAACCTCGTCTGTGCTACGCGGTGCAGCGTTGAAGTTGCGTCCATGATGTCGCTGCGCCATGTGGTTTCGCACGGTTTGTTTGCGCGGCTCCGCGCCTCAATCCTTCGAGCATTTGGCCAGCCCGGCGTGAGGGATGACTCGGAGTTAGAGTTGGGGTCCAAAACACATGGTGACATGGATAGCTCGATCATCACAGCTTCAGCACGCTGCGGTGAGTGGCCTAATTTTTATACAACTTTCACCACAGGATGCTCGTTTTAACCTGTGTATAGGTGACTTTGAGGGACACTGTTCACGAGTTGAAAACTATTCCGTCCGAAGGTTGCTGCCTAACTGCCAAACAGTCCCACAAGAGAGTGCCCGATAGAGAGAGTGTCCCACAAGAGTCCTTACAAGGAGTCCCACAAGAGTGCCCTACAAGGGTGTCCCACAAGACTGCCCCGCAAAAGTGTCCCGCCGTTTGTTTTTGAGTGCACGCGCGCATTCGGGTTCGCGGTTTCCATCTTTGTTTTTTCTGGCCTTCTTTCTTAAGTAAATAGACACCGACTTAATTAAAAGGGCTAGCCGGCACTACCTGCTGGATGCAGGATAGCTTACACACTATTCGCCTGGCTCCTAGATTTTTTGTTTCTTTCACCAAACAGTGTGTCCACACTCGTGCTTCTTACCCTAAGAGTTAAGGTAAGGATAGGTGTCTGATCGCAGGTGCTCATCGGCGTTTGTGGCTAATTCGCTGTTATATTTACAGTGCATTCATTCACCCGGATATCTTCGAAATGCATTTGGGCGCGAGCGGGTGCTCTTCGAGACTGAGCTCTCCTGTCGTGCCACAGACATTTTTTGACTGATGACTTTCTGTGATAGGCGGCAGGCGCAAGGCTGCGAATCGCCTTAGCAGGGCTGCACGGCGTGAATCTTGACCTGCAGATTTCGTGGCAGGCGCGGTACTTTGTGGACCTTGAAGTGCAGATTTCGTGGCAGGCGCAGTACTTTGCCCACCATCCCATCACCACCACCACCACCACCACCACAACCACCATCACCACCACCACCCCCGCCACCGCCACCGCCACCACCACCAGCACCATCACCATCACCATCACCATCACCATCACCATCACCATCGCCACCACCATCGCCACCACCACCACCACCATCATCATCACCACCACCGTTATCACCACCATCAACATCATCATCACCCTCACCATCATCATCATCACCACCATCACCTCCCAGTGCGTCTAGATATCTAGACATTCTGTTTCTACGCCTCTAGACCTTAGATGACCTTAGACCTTTAGACACACTGCTTGGCCTCTTGCCAGGATACTTTTTGGTTGTTTCTTCTTCTTCTTCACAATTGTGGCCAGATCACTTCAGTGTCATCAATATGTTCGACTGAGTTTGCCAAAATGTTATCGAATCTACAGTTCAGCCTCTTTGCACTAGTAGTTTGGATGTATCGAGTTCTTTGTAGATTGTTCCGCCATGCTCAAGTTGCCAAGGCTACAGCGTTTTTCCCATGCTCATCAGTGAGCAAGGTCCCTCTTTGGAACTCATAAGCTTCTTGTATTCCTTGGAAGGTGCAGCCCAGGCCCCGAGTTGCCATGTTTTGGACATGCACAAATTGTGTGGCATTTTGACTTGTTTGTTCCAGATTTGATATTGGCAAGGCGCTTTGTCAAACTGTTTTTTGACGAGGTGATTTGTACGATTCTGGTGATGCCATTCTTGGATTCCCAGATCTTCCTAAAGTACTTCTCCACCGCCTTCTTGCTTCTTTTCAGCGCTCCACTAGCCGTGTGTTTGTTGGGGAAGATCCATTGGGTCTCTTGGCAGAAACATGCTGCTTACGAAATCTAGCCGACTCGTGTTTGTCTCCTTCAAGGGTTTGCTAGCTGCTAGCATGTCCATGCAAGTTCACCTTCGCGTTTCAACGGCTAGCTGCTCAGTTCTTCTACCTGCTCACCTTGCTACTTGTGGACGTCCTTCTGTGCGTTTGCAATGCACTTCTTGGCGTGGTTGTTCTTCGTAGCTTGCCATGGGATCAGAGCCTTGTCTTGGTATGGTAATCTCTTTATTTGGTCCTTTGGGAAAAGTTTAGCTTGCCGCCTTAATTGCTTGTTTTCCTTTGGGTTCAGGCTTTGTATGAAACTGTGGGCTCAGGATCCTGGTGTTTTACAACATTGCATGCACGTGCCGCGGCTGGTAGTGGCCTATTTACAAATTTAAAGCACTGATTTGTAAGGATTCCATCAGCCCGTCTTCGTTGAAGTGTTGAAGCTTCAAAGGGAGGGTTCGGAAGCAAAATTGAAATATGCTTCACAAAGATACCAGATACCAGAGTCTTGATGGGTTTGCACTTGAATCTACCAGGTTGGGCGGGGTTTTGTCCGGAACCTCCTTTGTGCATCTCGGCCAATAGTGAAGAGAGCTGAGCTGCTTTGCTGAGAATGCCTCCTTCCTAGCCGGCCGCCTGCGCCCAGGCAAATGCCATTGAAGGCTTTGGTTGGAAGCTGGGAATTGGCATCAGTGATTGGCCATGGTGTGCCTCTTCTTCTCCTGTAGTTTGGATGAATAGAGGACACCATGCTCATTCCATCCAAGGCGTTTATCGTTTCGAAACCAAAGGTGATCAGGAAGGTAATAAAGCTCAGGAAACCTGCTAGCCAGAATCCAAACGGATTCACAACAGCAAGTCGTGCGTTCCAAAAGCTGTGGAGGATATGGTCCATACTCTGCTACTCTTGCCAAAAGGGTTGCGATGAGAGTCGCAGCAGCCATTTTCAGGGGCAATCGTTACCTTTCCTGGGATCTTCGATTGTTCTTGATTCCTCTCTACTTTCTTCTCAACCTTCTTGGCTTTTCTCTACCGGAACCCACATCGAATATTAACCAATGGCCATTTCACCGCAATTGCCACGCAACACTTCACCTGCCTGCCAATCACTGCAACATACTGCGACCACAAATCAGAAATTCTATTGCTGCCATTGTCAGTTACATGCTGATATGTCTTTTTGTTCAACGCAATTAATGTGCACCAGCACAAGCCACAGCTGCGAAGCAAACCCTCAAGCAGCAAATCCCAATTGGGCACTGTCGCAAACTGTACACCTCACAAAACACTGTGCCCACGTGGTGAAAACAAGCCAACTTCCAGACCTTGAAATGTCACATTTCTACGCGAATTAAGCACCCCGCAGAAGACTTCCCAAACGCTTTCCCGCGACGGGGATTCCGCGCGCTTCCGCCTGCAACCCTTCCTCGCGCAAGGGTTCCAACCTGTTGCAGACGGGACAAAACGCGGCAAATGAACACCCTCAACTCCGCCCATTTTGTCGACCTTCGCTACTATTGGCAATGAAAAGCGAAGGGAGGGTTAGATCAAAGTGTCAAAACAGTTTGTCTCGATTGAGTTGAAACTCGACCACGGTTTCTCAAGATTGGCCAATGAAGCATCTGTCCAAACGACAATAGTAGAGCCCAAGGGATGATTCAGATAAATGTTGAATTCAGTACTACCGAGAGTCAGTGTTTCAGGACCAGTCAGTCCTGTTTCTTGTTTGCCGAGGCTACTTTTCTATTTGATGCATCTTCCAGCTTTGAAGGAGTTTGTGGTTATCAAGCTTCGCCATGCATTTCGCTCAACCTCAAACAAGTAAAGGGAATGATTGTCACGTTGCTTTGGGCAGTTTAGCACCCAGGAGCTGTGGGAACTTTTGCTTCAACCTGTGCGACGCACAAACCATGGGGAGTGGGATCCAGAGGACTTGGAGGAAGAGGCGCAATTGGCAAGTGGAAAAGAAGAAAAGAACACAGGCTACTGGTAGCAAGAGGCTACTAGGTTGAAGGCCATCGCCATTAGGTTGGAGGCCATTGCTACTAGTAGCTTCTTGCTAGTAACAAGATGAAAAGGAATCCTTTTTGCATTTTTGTATTTGAGACCTGAGACCAGTGTTGTTTGTTTTTCGCACCGAGAAGATGGTAACAATCGTATCATTGAGATGTTTCTTGCTCCGTTCGTGTTGCTGCCACACCACGAGCTATGTTGAGCAATCCAAATAATAGATGTTGCTGTCCAGCTCAATTTGTTGACCCTTTTTGACCTACGCTGGGCGCATATGTGTGTTTGCACCATGTGGCTTTACAACGCTATAATTTGTATGCTTTACAACAAAACATGAATGGAGGAAGAGGATGAGCAAGCAGAAGAGCCACCCTCGTTGCTGACAGACGAGTCCAACAAGGATGGTCAAGTTGCGATTGTCTCACAGGCAAACATGCACTTCCTACAGTTGCATATCTATTCTGAAAACACAATGAACTGAATTTGTGAAAGATGCACTGTTTATTCGCATAAAATGAAGTTTTAAGCCAAAAGTTTACATCAGCTCAACTTAGCAGTACTGTTTGGACACAGATCTGTGAACATGGCATCCTGCTGGCTTTCGCAGGGGTGCCGTGATGGGTGTTTGGAGTGATAGCTGCTTTCACCATGTCCGCGTGGATAGATAGTCTTGAGAAACAGCAAAGCTTGGAACGCCACTATGATTTGCTTTGTGTTCGTTCCCATTGGTAAAGGTAATCTGTTGAAGAAAGCATGCGATTTCACTGTCATATTCAGTTTTTCAGGGCGTCCACTCACAACAAGAAGTGTCCCGCCCTGCTCTTTGTACAGCCGATGCAATTTGACTTGCCTGACCGGATGTCATTGTCATGACCTATGGTTCACATGTTTTGCTAGAATGCTTTGAATCCAGGTCAGGCTGGAATCCAGAGATCCAACTTTTTGTTTGCAGAATTGTCAAGCAATTTTGCGTGCACGTCACGGACGTCAGCTCATGATTGGCTGCCGAGCTTGTCGGCAGCGACACGAGCGAGAAGGCGTGAAGACCCCCACAGGAGGTGCAGGTTGTGGGCAGCTTTGCTGATGGTTACCCACTTGGTGTTGTCACCAGGAGCCTTTGCCCTGTGGTGTTCTTAAGGTCTTTCGCGTTTTGGAACCCTTGCAGCAAGTGCGTTCCAATCCCCGTTGCTTGAAAGAATGCCAACACAGAAATCCGATGCCTCCTGGGTGTGGACCAAATTCATTCGCATGGTTTTGCGATGGGCCTCCTCATGGGAGCAATCGCCGCTTGAATTTGTCGTGGCCCACGCTTGCAATTGACAGAATCTGTTGCATAGAAGAGACGAAGGGAAAAATGTTCAAATCGGATGCTGATTTGATCCGGTTTGACTCTGAAACATCACAACCGAAGCCAACAGGATGAGCGACTGAGACCGCCAAACAACCCCGTCGCAAACCACAACGTCACCCATTTCCGAGAACTCTCTTCAGTTTCTACTAGGAGCAAGGACGCTACTAGGAGCAAAGGGCATCGCTACTAGGAGCAAGGGCCTTACTACTAGGAACAAGAAGCTAGTAGAAGCAAAAATTAGTATTTAAGTTTAATTAGAATTCAAATTCTGTCCATTCCGACCTTTTGCTCTTTTTTCCGATGGTTTTTCGAGAGGAGGAGGTCAAAGGATCTCGGATAGATTCCGTCATGTGATTCAGATAGGTTACGTGTGTGTTTGCCATAGTATTGGAATGTATTGGATGTTCTTTGTATACCATAAACGGGTTAACTTGTTCACTCTTAAGTTAGTCAGTTGTGTGTTTTGTTATTGTTGGTTATTGTTATATTTTGTAAGGTGTCGTTTGTGAGTTTGTGTGATGTCTTGTGTTTCGTTGCTTCAAGGCTGTAAACTGCAGTTGCCACAGAATCCAGGACGCTTTGTCGGTGACGTTGTTTGCTGAACGGGTCAATTGTCATGGAAATAGCCGCTTAGCCGTTACTTGAACACTTTGCGATCCCGTTGCAGGCATTCGTAAACTTTGATCTGGAAGTGTTGCAACCTGTCCTCGCATTGGTTTGGTCATTCCAATGTTGGTGTTTGGGAATTCCCCTGCCTCACAATGTTAAAACTAACGATAGTGTGACATCTTGCAATGACAGAAACTTGTCCACTTGTCCAGACTCCGCATCCAAAAATACACAAATCCCGCCACACAGCCCTATCCAAGATACAAAGACGTAAAGCCAAACAAGAATGGGCACTACTAGTAGCAAACAAGAGCTTCGAAACTGATTTTGATCAAGACTGGAACCAGCGACAAAGGAACAAATGCCCCAAAGCCAAGAACAAAGAGCTTCCAACAACCCTCTTCAATCCAACAAAGCCAGCAAGCAACGAATAAGCCAAAGAAAACAACAAAAGCTAGTCAAACATATGCGGGAGCGCACTGAACTCCGATCACCAACCAATCGCAAAACTACATTAAGTAGCAACAACAAACAACCACTTTGCGGAGCCACAAAATGGAAAAACGACCATGAGAAGTACCGATACACCAAGAAGAGTTACAAGTTAACCGTTTCGACCCGCGACATCTACCTCCACAGTTGGACCAAACAAGCAACGAAAAGACCGTAGAAAGCCAAAGCAGCAAACCACAAGAAACGCTGAAACGTACCTTGCGAAACACATTGCACCAGACCTTCAAGTAACCCAAATCATCCCAACTTCACCAACCAAGATACAATCAAAACACGCAAAGCTAACCAAATATGTGGAGACAAGGTAAAAGTAAATCAGATCAACATGCAACAAACAATGCCACAGCACCTTAACAAAAAGGAATTCTGTCCGTGTCATTGCTTTTCGCTTGTGCTGGTTGATATGGTGCAACTCGCCACTATTGATTGATTTGATCGATCCAACCTTGACCTAAGTAAGATTCCATCATTCTTATTACGTCCTATCCTTGCAAATTCCCTTGCCGCTTTCCCGCATGTATTTTTTCAACTCGATCGTTCAAAATGTCTAGACTTAATCGTTTAAATTATTTATTAAGAAGTTCAAGGTGTAAATATATGGAGTATTGCATGTATTTATTGATATACTAAATAATTGAATCTATAGATAATATAGATGTTATTGATATGTTTATTTATTTAATTGTATGAATATATAGATTTATATTTAATGATTGATGTAGTGTTTTTGTTTTGTTTTTTGTATCGTAGTTTATGGATGAAAATATGATAAAGGTTGTATCTAAATAACGGGAAATTAAAGATTGTGAGATGAAGAAGAGGCCTAAAATTTTGTTTATGGATTTCGGGTAAAGGTTTATATTTTCTGGGATGAGGGGTAGTATTGTATGTAAAAAATATATATTCTTAAAAAAAATATATATATTGGAAAAAAATTTGAAATGAAGAATTTATAGATTTTATTAAAAGATTTGGAATTAAGATTTAAAATATTTATATATATATATTAATTCGATTAAATTAAAAAATATTAGGTTTATTATAATTATTTAAATAAATTATTATAATAAACATTTTACAAATCTAAATTAAATAAATTTAATTTTAGTTTAAACACTTTAAAAATGTTTTTTTTTTTTTTTTTTTTTTCTAAATTATTATTTATTCACCTAATGGAAAGAAAATATAATAACGTAAAAATATATTAAGACAAAATTAATTAATTAAAGCCACTATTTTATAATTTATTTAAATTATTATTTTCTTGAAGCAATTTTATTAAATTAATTAATAGCTTAATATATTAAAATTATTATTTGCTTAAATTATTAATTAATCGGTCGCAATATCTCTTCTTCTTTTTAATCTGTTTATAATACGTAGTTTTAAATTTTTCGTTTGCTCCCAAAATTCAATTATATAATTCCTATCGATTTTTTTAAGCAAATATATATATAAAACGTTTATCCGAAATTATTTAATATAATTTTTATCTTTTTTTAATATTAAAATATTTAATCCTAAATTTATTTTTTTGGTATATTTAAGGCGTTGTAAATTTCTAACATATATATAAATTATATACCCATAGACGAATATACAAATGCACAGCACAACATGCGCGGAATGGCGTTGAGGCTGGTTCGGTTGTTAAAGTCAAGAATAAAGTGCTTCTAATAACCCATTTCAATCCAATAAAGCTAGCAAGCAATGAATAAGCTAAAGATAAAGAAGTAACAAAAGCTAATTAAAACATATGCGGGAGCGCACTGAACTCCGATTATTAACCCCTCGCAAAATTACATTAAGTAGTAACATCAAACAACCACTTTGCGGAGCCAGAAAATGGAAATACGACCATGAGAAGTACCGATATATTAAGAATAATTACAAATTAATTTTTTCGACTTGCGACATCTACCTCCACAGTTGGACTAAACAAGCAACGAAAAGACCGTAGAAAGCCAAAGCAACAAGCCACAAGAAACGCTGAAACATACTTTGCGAAACAAATTGCACCAGACCTTCAAGTAATCCAAATTATCCTAACTTCACCAACCAAGATACAATCAAAACATGCAAAGCTAGCCAAAGATATGGAGACAAGGTAAAAGTAAATCAGGTTAACAAGCAACAAACAATGCCACAGCACCTTAACAAAAAGGAACTCTGTCCACACCATCGTTGCGTTGCGCTTGTGCTGGTTGATATCGTGCAACTCGTTCTGCCGCTATTGATTGATTTGGTCGATCCAGTCTTAATCTAAGGTTATGCCATTCTTACGTTCTACCTTTGCAAATTCCATTGCCCTTTCCCCCATTTCATCTTCCAACTCGATCGGCCCGTCCTTTGTTCAAAACTTCCCGGCTTATCTTCAACCGTGTAGATCAAAGAGTTAAAGATATAAAAATATAGAGTCCTGTATCTATTTATTGATGCATGGCATTAAACGATTGAAATTATAGACAATGTAGATGTGATATTATTGATAGTTTTAGTATGTTTTAATGAATTAAATGAATATACGAATCCATATTCGATGATCAATGATTGATGTTTTGCATTTGCTCCTTGTGTCGTTAGCTCATGGATGAGAGTATGGGCAAGGTTGCAAGTGGTCGGTTGGCTATTCTGTATTAACGTTTTATCCTGCTAGAGCCCCAGCACCAAAGGCATTGGTAGCCCCGTGAGCTTCGCGCGCACTGGGTGTCTCAGGCGGGATGAATCGGGAAGGAACTCGCAGTTGGTCGCTGGGTAAGAAGCCGCATGATCCGTGGAGGCTTATATGGACCTCCTTCCTGGCAGCGCCTTTGTCGATGCACTTTCAT